TGTTTATAGAGGCCCACCATGAATGAATGGGCTCAAGTAAAGCTGAAGGTGGTCATTTCTTGGGAATGAAGATAAATTGTAGGGGTGAAAATTTACAAATGGTACACATTTATATTTTTATTATGTAATTTATTAATAATAATATATATAATAAATAGTTAAATACCCATTATCTTATCCCCTTACAAAATTCCTTGTTTATAGAGGCCCACCATGAATGAATGGGCTCAAGTAAAGCTGAAGGTGGTCATTTCTTGGGATCGAAGATAAATGGTTAAATGCTTAATTTGGTCCTTCAACTTTATGAAATGAATATTTTTGGTCCCTTAATAATTTTTTGCATTTTTTTGATCTCTCAACTATACGAAATGTACTCCGTTAGTCTTTCTGTTAATTTCGATCGTTAACTCACTTATGTGGTATTTTTTTATAATTTTTTTGATGACATGGCAAAAACAAATTGAAAACGTGTTGATGTGGATTTTTTTTTCATGCCAACTCATATTATTACTATTTATATTTTAAAAAAATAAAATAAAATAACTCACGTTCATCTTCTTCCTTTCTCTTTTTCTTTTTTTTCCTTCCTCTTATTTTTTCCTCTTCTTCCTCGGGTCATTGTGCTGGGTTCGACCGAACCCAGAACCCAACTCCACTTTTTTTTTTTTGTTTATATGATTGTTTGCCAAGAGATTATCCGAATTACAGGTTGTTGTAAGGGATTTTTGGGCAACTGATTTTTTTTTTTGGTTGTATGATTGTTTGCCAAGAGATTATCCAAATTGCAGGGATTTTTGGGCAATTGAGCTAAGTGAATCGAGCTGGGTTCGATGGAATGTATTTGTTGGGTTCTGTTCTATTGAACTTCAATCTTGAAAATGGAAAGAACATCGTTTATGAAAAGAATAGAAACAGTAACAGACGGGGAAAGAAGTAATTCTTAGTAATGATGTGGGATCCATTTGGATGGATTTGGTGCGTTTTCAACTAGGTAACATGTGACATGGCAAAAGTTTTATGCAAATCATCACCTTTTTAAGTTTTGCTCTCCACATCATCAAAAAAATATAAAAAATACCACCTAAGCAGGGTTAATGGCCCAAACTAATAGAAGGACTAACGAAGTGCATTTCGTATAGTTGAGGGATCAAAAAAGTGCAAAAAATCGTTGAGGGACCAAAAATGTGTAACTCACTAAAGTTGAGGGACCAAATTTAACATTTAACCAAGATAAATTGTAAGGGTGAAACTGAACAAATGGTACAAGTTTGAGGATGAATTTAGCAAGGGGTGGCATTGATAAATCAGGCAAAAACCAATATAGCCCCTCACCTTACAAAATTGATAGGTTTTATCCATCATCTTATAATATGATAGTTTTAGCCCTTTATCTTACAAAGTTGGTAAGTTTTAACTCCTCACCTTACAAAGGTAGTAGGTTTTAACCCATTACCTTATATTATGATATTTTTAGACCCTCATCAATACGAATTAAAGAAAATAGTCTTCACCTAATATCAGTTTATAATGCTATATTAATTAACTGTTAACCTCCGTTAACATTCTGTTATAAAAAAACATAAAATTTAAATTCTATTTTATTTGTTAGTTCCATTAACAGAATGTTAACATATGCTAACAATCAACTAATAGAACTAACAGTTAACAAAACTGACAGTCAGCTAACATAATTGACAGTCAGCTAATAAAACTAATAGAAAATTATAATATGATATTAAATAAAAGCTATTTTCTTCAATTCATACAGATAAATGGGCTAAAAGTGTTATAATATAAAGTAAAGGGCTAAACCTATCAACTTTGTAAACTGAAGAGTTAAAATTTATCAATTTTATAAGATAAATGGTTAAAAGTGTCATATTATAAGGTTAGGGGCTAAAACCTACTAATTTTATAATGTGAGGGGCTCAAAGTTGGTTTTAACTAATAAATCACGTGAATTTAGTTAGGGTTATAAGTTTGGTATCAGTACGACAGGCCCGTTAGACTTTCTGTGGGTGCAGTAAGAAAATGGAGACTTCATTGAGATATGGTGGGGACTCCAAAGCTTTAAGAATTCACGCCAAGGAGAAGCTCCCGATCGCCTTCAATACCCTTTTGCAGGTAATCTTACTCAATCATTTTGCCTTTTTTCTCTACTTGATTTCTGCTGGAGTTTTGCCAACGTTGTTCATTTTGAGATTGGTTATTTGGTAGTATCTTTTATCTTCCTCTGGAGTATTGCTTTCATTTCAGTGCCTTAATCTAACTTAGGGGAGAAGCTGAGAGCTTGTATTAGCTTAAAGAACTAGAATTTAAGTAGATTTTGTGGTTGGGATGTATTAAAATGTGGGAAGATTATCAATTTGGAAGTTAGCTTAAAGAGAACCGAAGTTTAAGCAGCTTCTGTCGATGGAATGTATTAAAATGTGGAAAGATTACAAATTTGAATAGCTTAAACCTGAGCATGAACTGGGTAGGTTTTGGTTAAGCAGAAGAGAAAGAGGGGGGAAAATTTTCAGCTGATGCGGAATTTATACATTCTCAATTCAGGCATTTTGTTTTCCATACGTGGGTATTGTGTCAAAGCAAATGAATCATGCTCATGCCATCTTTGGCTGGATTGATCTAAGTAGCGAGAAATCCATGGGTGTTTCTATCCTTTGCTGGTTTTTCATTCTCATATGTTAGTCTTGTTGGTAACTTGGATTTTGTTCTTCATAATATATCTCAAACTCAAAAGATATTTTCTGAGTGACCTCACGCACCTTGTATCATTGTTATGACACAATTAGTTGATTTAAACAATTATGATTGAGATATATTATGGTTATCCTTGTATCATAGATATATATATATACATATATATATGGTTGATAGACGAATTATTTGCTTGTAGACTGGTTTTTGATTGTTTCTTTGTAGCAGCCATATATGGCTGCTAGATTGTATTTTGAAGTATTCTTGGATTAATGAATTTCACATTCATCCCAAAAAAAAAAGAATTGAGATCCTATCTATGGTTGTTTCCTTAGTCCTTCTTTCTCTGTGTGTTAGGTTCATGGAGAGCTAGATACCAGAAACGGAGCACCAAGTTATTTTTGTGCAATGTTAAGACGCTTCTCCCATGATGTATGTCTATTTCTCAAAGTTATGTTGTTAGTGTTTCACTTCCAAACTTGATTTCCTTTTTCAAAATATGTTAATTAGTATGTCTGACAACCGTCTGTAGATATCAGCAAGTCTTGGTATAGGAGTGCACTATGATAGACACGAGAAACTGCAGTTTAGCATCCGTTGCAAAAAGGCTTTTCCAGTGACTAGTAATGGTTTAGACATAAAATTCAATGTCAAGGGAAGATGTCATGTAGACAAAGAATTTAAAGAGGTTGGTATTTATTTTGGTTTTTAAGAAGTTTCTTACAATGCACTTTCATGTGGGAATTAAGCCACTGATATTTGGTCTTTGCAACTCACTTACTGTTGGCCAAAAATAAAAGACTCTCTCAGTTGATAAAGATGCCATTAAGTCTTCAGACAAATAGTGTGAGTTGTTTGTTTGGCACCGTTCTTGCTTCTCCATCTACTTCCTGAGTCTTCCTCCCAAATGGAAGAATGCCAGTTAGGTTTGATTATGTCTACTAAGGTTTTCCTTGGAGAAAAGATGGACTGTACCATCAATTATAGTTTGTACCCTAGCTTTCCACTAACATTTGCAACTACTATGACAGACAAAATCAATAGGAGCTGCTGAATTTTCTTGGAGCATATTGAATTTCCAGAAAGACCAAGATGTTAGACTCAAAGTTGGCTATGAAGTATTTGACAAGGTAATTCTCTCTCAAAATGACACATGCAGTTCTATTTCTTTGGGGCAAAAGAAGTGTGCTAGCACCCATTTCGTTTTTCTCATGATTCTTAATGTGTTTTGTTTCTTTATTTTCTTGTATCATCTGTATTCTTGCTTGTGTATGCTCTGTGTGTGTGTGTGAGAGAGAGAGAGACAGAGTCTTGATCCGTAGTCATGCAATTGGATTGCAATATCAGTCTTTACTTGTACTTCTAGAAGTGATGCTCAATGCATCTAATTATCAATTACTGTGGTTTTGGCATTTCTATATCGGGCCGAACCCCCTATTTGCACCCTGCATATTTTTCTTCTTTCTGTGGTCAACTCCCTAAACTAATTTTTGTCTCAGTCAACACCCTCCATAATTTAAAACCTGTGAAAAGCCCCAAATTACTAACAAAATCATGGTGCAAGTGAGGGGTTTGACCACAAAATCAAGGTGCAATTGGAGGGTTTGACCATTAATTTTTGGTTTTTTCACGGGTTTTGAATAGTAGAATGTGTTGAGCATGACAAAAATTAAATTAGGGTGTTGACCGCAGAAAGAAAAAATATGTAGGGTGCAAATAGGGGCTTTGGCATTTCTATATCTTGCATTTGAAACTGATTCTAACCTTTTAGGTTTTCAACCGTTACTGGTATTCTTAGAGCAGGCATGAAATGTCATTTTTGCACTTTCAGGCTATTCTTACTGCTAGTTGTGATATAGAAATTCATACTCTGATTTGTTATCATCTAGATCTAGGTAAACAGTTGAATCTGATTTGTCAAGCCTTGTCATTCCTGTCTTGGGTTCTTTCCACCTTCTGAAAGACCTGAACTTTGCATCCTTCTTTCATTTGTTAACTTTGAAGTCCCCTGTCCAAGTTATTTAAATAAAGGAAATAGTGCTTATCCGTCTTACCTCCTAAAGATTAAGGGGAATATTATTCCAAAACTACTTCATTTTAATAAACACCTATTGAAAAAGACTAAAATATCCTATTTTTAAAGCATGAATTAGGGTGTTTTAGGGTGTTTTTTTTGTTCTTTTTCCTCCTAATTTTTTGGAGGTAAGGCAGACAAACACTAACCCCTTAAATAAAACTACCTCTTGTTTTACGTTATTGAATTTTTGCCTATCAGGTTCCATACCTGCAGATTAGGGAAAACAATTGGACATTCAACGCTGACATGAATGGGAAATGGAATGTGAGATTTGATTTGTGAAGGAACCTTTTAATTTAATGGACATGTTTCAGAAGTCAGGTATGTAATTTTGGAGATTGTATTTTTCATTTCCTTGTAGTCTAGAACTCTATTATTCCATAATCCATTGACAATGAGATAGATGGAACCAACAAAGAGTATTACCATATTTCAGTTATCAGAAATGGTGCCTTTTCCAGTTCTAATAATTGAGTGTTCCTTGTAGACTGTTACTGCATCATAGAATTTATCATGGGCCCTTCTCCCATCAAAGAGATTATGCTTTACAGTCCAGAGTGTAAAACAACATACTTTTTCTAATATTACATTCATCTCTCAACTGGTAGTTAATTTTCTTTTCAAATAACTAGTAAAACAACTTTGGGATAAATTTTTAAAGGTGCAATGAGTTTGATCTTTAGTTGTCTAGTACATAAAGATCATTACTTCAAGATGATAGTGATGGAATAATCATAGTACTTGAGAGAGATGGAACCAACTTCAAGATTATTACTTCAGGTTTGTAGTTGTGGAAATTGTATTTTTCATTTCTCTGTAGTCTAGAACTCCATCATTCCATAATCAATTGACAATGAGATAGATGGAACCAACAAAGAGTATTACCAAAGTTCAGTTATCAGAAATGGTGCCTTTTCCATTTCTAATAATCAAGTGTTCTTTGTAAACTGTTACTGCATCATATGATTTATCAGGGGACTCTCTCTTATTCAAGAGTCAATATTTTACGGTTTAGACTATAAAACATTGGACTTTTTCTAATATTACATTCATCTCTCAACTTTTTATTGAACAAAGTAAGTAGTTAATTTCCTTTTTAAATAACAAGTGAAGATGCAATAAGTTTGATCTTTATTTGTCTAGTACATAAAGATCATTACTTCAAGATGATGGTGATGGAATAATCATCTTACTTGAGAGATTTCCATTTCCCTTAGTCTTGCGGTTCTTTTTAACAACATTCATAAAGAATAATTTGTTTTGCATATATTCTGATATAATGTTACAAGTTATCATATTCGTTTGTCATTGTGATTGTTTATTTATGTATATAGGGCCTAACAATTTGAATGTCAAATGACATCGCTTCATGCATATATTGAGTCTTAATTACATGGGAACTTGAAAGCTGTCGCCGCTCCAATCTCCTCTCCCCCCCCCCCCCCCCCCCATGGAGGGTAAAGTAATCGAATTTGTTGAGCTGCCAAGGGGGTGAGATGAAGAAGGTAAATCTACCCTCTAAGCCTTAATAACAAGGGAACAAATGTACCTATCCTTTTTGTTTAGATCCAAAGTCAAAGACGATTTGGAGCCTCCCACCTAGACTCGTCCAGGCTTTTAATTGCATGAATATGACATTTTGGAGACGTGTTCGGATGGTCATTTATTTAGCTTTGGATAAATGGAGTATTAATGCACTAAACATATTCCAAGTTGAGTCATCGCCTATTTTCCCAAAAAACAAAGGAAAAAAATTCCAAAGTTAGGTGCATATATATAGGTCAAGTCTGCCCTCAGCACGTTACACGGGCACCCTCTTGAATGCTCCGCCGTGCGGGGTAAACAAAAGCACAACACGCCCCTTATCCTCTTGCATGGAAGCTTCGCATTTATGCAACGTTCAACGCATCCCTCGTGGCTAGGGCTGAGGAGTGGGTGGGCCGACTCTTTCCTTTTTTGTTAATTTGTCTTACACTAACTTTTATATATTTTAAAAATATATTTTT